CTGCTCAGCTAGAACCCCAGAATGCATGTTTACATCGGCAGCACCATATGACTGAAACACAATCTGGCATATGAAGTGACGTAATGTCTAAATATCTATAAAGTCACCTCTGAGTACAACAAATCTGCACAAAAGCATTACAGAAAGTTAGTAGCTTGCCTGAAAAAAACCTGCTTAAACCGACATTAATAAATCCCTCTATCTGAGCTCATCTCAGTGTCGTTTACTTTAAAGAAAATAGCAAATACAACAACACGGCTAACTTCCTGCTAGCTGCAGAAAACTCACCTGTTGCTGAGCTTCACAGAGTCCCACCGAGTTAGCCGCTGCCCTTCCTCTCTTTTCGTGGCAAAACAGGCCTGGAGACACAAATCCTCCTCGTCATATGGAAATATATATATTTCGTGGATTTTTATGGCGAAATCTCGAGTGTATCCAGCAGATTAATCTCCTCTTTGGGTTCAAACATTCACAGAAGGCTTCATTTCCTTAGCATTAGCTAGCCAATTAAGCTAGCGGCCGTCAGTTACACACGTTAAAACGTGAACACAGTGAAATATTTTTGGACTCTTCATTAAATTATCGTCGTCTAAAGGTTTTTAAGAGTGTTTGAACTTTGCGTTCGGTAACATTCAGGCTTTCTGTCACAGTGAAAACACACAGGTGGCGGCTCATCAGTGCAATTACCAAAGGCTGCGTTCCATTTCTGTTTCAGGTGCGCAGAGCCAAGTGCGCAGCGTTCATTCTACCGGCTAACATTGACTTGTGCAGCTAAATGGAACTCAGCCAGAGTCACACTGACGGTCAATTGAGATTTATTTATGGATGAATAAATCCGAACCTTGTTGTAGATTTTAAAGTGTCAAACACATATTTTAATGCACCAGTTTGTTTCTTTTCTGCAGCTGGAAATGAGATTATTTATGTAAACGGAAAGCACAACATTTAGACGCTAGAAAACAAATCTAAACATATTAGAATAAAATGCAATAAGAATCTTAGGCATTCTGGACTGTTTTTAATATTTACTCACCTGTAGATCAAGATTTTCCTACTTAATATTATTCCTGATAAGTCAAATCACACACAGGCCGAACTTCTTCTGTTTTGTTTTGGGCAGTTAGCTCTTAAAATAAAAACTTAATTTAAAAAAATAATATTTCTGCAGCTTGGGTGTAATTTCACATGATTAAAATACATTTTCTAGCCTTCATTTTATAGATTGATAAATAGATAGATGCTAAAACTTTGTATTTTGAGATAATACCCATATATAGATACGATGCGCTGATGGAAATACATTCATTCAATTTTTTTGTTATGAAAACTTGTACAGGGTGTCTCCCATTTAACAAACACATATTCGTGAAATAACAGAAACAATACTTTTTCCTGTTAACTGTCACTAACTGTAATTAATTGTAGAAATGTAGTTGCAGTGTTAAACTTGAATTTACCAGTTTCATCTAAGAAATAAAAAGGAAATATTTATGAAATTGAAATATATTTGCAACAATCTTTCTATTTTTTTTAAAAAAAATGTATTTTTTTTTAGGAAAATGAAAGTTTTATATCACAGTAGAAGTAACTATTTTACATTAGCAATATGAATTCACAGTGTATGTTTTTGGAAATGTATTGATATTTTTATGTAGTTCTAAACTACAGAAAAATGGTCAAATAAAAGCAAAACTATCTATATATTTCTAGATGGCATTACTAAGAGATGCAAGAATGTCTCAAATAGGGCATATCGTTTCATTTTAGCACAGTTTTGTCTCTTTTAACTCTCAAAATATGACTTATGAGCTCATACAACCATTGAATCTAGGTTGGAAAATGTGATTAGACTCATATATTCAATTACAATTTGAATTGTCACCTGGTGCATGAATTTAGTGATTTCTTTCACTCATATAGAGAAAACTCCACCGTAAAGTCGTGCAAAAAAGGCACAAATTGGTGCATGAAAATTCCACAGAATGAAGAATATTAAGTGTTTGATGCTCAAACCCTCCACCTGATGTGTCGTCTCTAATATTCAAATGAAACTAACACCAATAAAGACACAGACTCCCCAAACGTTCAGTAACAACACAAAATACACATCTATTTCAGTGCAAATTATCTGTACTGCTCACATGGTGCCAACTTTCTATGTCTGCAGCAGAAGAACGTGTACGAACAGTGTTATTAAAGACCTTTATAGTCACTCAGACAGACTCTACTCTGGGTCCAGTTTCTCTCTGATGCCCTGCAGTCCCCACCGGTCCCAGCACTTGAGTTTTTTATTTACTGGGCCGCTGGCAGAAGCTCCATTCTCTGTCCGAGCTGAATCAATATCCCATTATGGTGTTTCAGAGGGAAATGGCTCAGAGGGAAGAAAGAGAAATAACCTAATATATTATGGTAACACCGATCCATGGGATGTGTCTTTTTTCGCTCCCGCGTTCGGAGGTGAAGTTAGGGTGAAATTGTTGGAAAATGAGAGCTGTTGAATTTCGCGAATATGGAAGACCCAAACAACAAAGAGAAAATAAACTGTTGATGGTTGAGAAAAGACCTCCTCTGGGAATTAATCTGACAGTTTAAAAAAAAAAAATAGAAGAAAAAAGAAAATAATCCCAGCTTGATGTGAGACACAGAGACTGTAAAAGGGGGGCGATGAAGGAAAAATCCATGCAACACATCTCAATGTTTTTATGGGCGTTTTTTTAATTGAAACCAGCTTCACTGATAACAAACATGCAATATCACTGTACAAGCCACAGATAAGTGTTACTCATTCACATCTTGACACGTTGTCAAGGATTAGCCAGCAAACACACAAGCACACACACGCACACACAAACACACACACACACACTGACACACACACACGCTCAGATGCTGTACAGAGATAAACACACTTTTTCTCTTTTGACACACGCTCACATTCGCACAGTCATATTTACATATCACAGTGAATGATGGGTAAAAACGATGCGGGGAGGAGGATTACACTGTTCTCCTGGTCCGACTAGAGATGAGGATGGCAGCACAGTTCCGGTGATAGCGAGTCTGACTGAGGTGGGATAAGGAGTGAGATGATGACAGTGAGGATGTGAGTAGAAAAAAATCTTTTTTTTTCTTTTTCTGTTTTTTTTTTATCAGCATCCTAAACTCTGCGCTGCAGGGAGGCGCCTCTTAGCATTTAGAGAAAACACAGTGAGACTGCTAATATAAAAGAAAAACTGCGTAGAATAAATATCGTCTCTCTCTCTCTTGTCAAATCCACTCAGTCTGTGCTACATTTAAATGCATGGTGCTGTTACAGTATCATAAATACAGGGCTTGGTGGTTTCATAAATAGGTTTTGGGGTATTGCTTGGATGATGTCTGCCAATGCGCTTTTAGATCCAAAAAAAAAACAAAAAACAAAAACAAAATCAACAAAAAAAAGGCCCCACTACCAAAAAAAATATATACCTTAAATTCCAATAAATAAATAAATACTTTAAAATGTCATACAAAATCCTGACATTACCCTTTTTTTTCCAACATTTAATGGAAGTTCTGTCTACAAATGTAAGATAATAAATATATTTAGTATTTTTAGTAACAGTTAGGTTTAGGTGGGTTTATTTGGGATATCTCTTATATCTTTAAGCAAAAACTGGATTATAAACAGTAGGAAAGATCTCTGCAGAAACTCTATTTAATACTGCTCATATCACAATGGTTACGACACGATAAAATACTGCAAATTATCAAAACTGTACAGAAAAACTTACAAGTTTCTCTAAAATACATTTTCACTGTTAGTGTGCGAGACGCCACAGAGCTCGTCTCGGCAGCCGGACAGACAGTCGGGAAGAAACCCCCTCTCTCCGCACGCGCCTGATTGTTCTGCCGTCGGCCGCTCTGGTCTGGAAGCGGCCTGCTCGGTTGCCGCTCGCCGTCCTGAAGCTCCTGAAGGCCAACGGCTACTACAAGTCCACGTGGAGCCTCGCAGTCTGGGAAGAAAAAGAAGAAGCCAGGCCACACGTTTCTACTGGACGTCTAGCGAGTTCCTCCGGTGCGCTCTTCTACTTCACAGTTTCGAAATAGTCGCTTTTTTGTATGTTTTTTTGTCTTCTTTTCTCTGTTTGCATGTTTTTTAAGTGTGTTTCTTAGATATTCCTCTAGCTAATCTACGTCACGGTTACAGGTGTGAGTGTTAGTGGCGCGCCGCCGAGCGGTGGGTGTTTTTGGCTGGGTGAGGGCAGTGCCACCCTGGTAGTAGTAGTCGTGTGTGTGTGTGATGTGTGTGTGGGTTTCTTTTTCTTTCTTTTTTCTCTTTTTTTTTTTAAAGTGTAGAAGAGGGCGGGTTTGGGCCGGCCGGTCAGCGATGGCGGTAGTGTCTCATGAGGGGGACGATGCAGGACGGGGGTCCTGACAGCTTGAGGAAGGGGTGCTGGAGGAGCTCCTGGGCGGTGGCTCGCTGCGACGGCTCCCTCACCAGCATCAGGTCCAGGAAGGACCGAAGCACCGACGACACCTGCAAAGAGACGCATGCATTTAAGATTAGAATGCAAACATTTAAATACATGCTTAAACAATGATCATCTACATTGATTTAAGAGGAAATCAAAGCAACATTTACAGCATGCACACAGCTTTATCAGACCACCACCCAGTGTAAGGTTTATGCCACAGCTGCCCTAAATTAACAAATCAAATGTTTCTATAACAGTTAGTATGTAGAAGCTGTTTAACTGAAATAATATTTTTCATGCTACAACATAATTACAATTGTTATCCATGAAGTTTCAAATTCACTGTTTTACAAAAATAAATGAAAAAATAGTACAGCACATCATTATTTCTTGATTAATACGTCAAATTCTAGATATTTACTTGCATTCCTGAACAGAAAAGTTAGTTTTAGTGGTTGAATGTTATGCTTGATTCATTTCTGACTCAAATTTGGGCATAAAAAGGTGAATTTGGTTTGAAAGTCCTCATTCCTGCTCCAAATGGTGAAACAAGGAGAGCTAATTAAAGTACTTCATGATGCACGATAGTCTACATATGTATATGCACATTCATACATCAATGGTGACAGAGCTGCCATGCAAGGTGCTGCCTAGTTCAGGTTCAGTGGACACTTCGACTGTGGCGGGATCGAACCGCCAACCTTGTGACTGGAGGACAACCTGCTCTACCACCTGAGCCACAGCCACCCATAACACCCATTCCGTGGCATACCTGTACTCTATCCTGTACTCTATAAAGCCTGGTATCACTGTCTACAAAAACTACAATGTCTGAAGTAATCTAAGAACAAAGGAGAGGAACGCTTGGAGCTAGATACTGTTGAAAAAGTTAACAAACATAGTCTGAGTTTGGACTAGAACTCAAGTCTCCCGAGTTAAAGACTCGGACCTTCAGCCCCTAAATGTTGACTTATTCCTCGTCTTAAATCGTAGCTTCACTGCCATTAAACGATAACTAAGGAAGTCCCTACCTGCCTACATTTGCTGTTGTAAATGATGTGTACTGATAACACCTGTTAAATGGCCCTATGGCATCTAAATCTGGGGTACTTGGTGAAAACAATCAGTGGATTCATGAATGAACTGCTGCACTGTGAAGTCAGGGGTTTCCCTCCTCTTACCTTGTGCGACTCTTTTAGCCGCGGCGGCAGGTTGTCTCGTATCCTCCTCATGGCCTGCAGAGGGGGTTCGTTAAAGTAAGGCGGCTCTCCGTCCACCATCTCGATCACCATGATGCCTAAAGACCAGATGTCCACCTGGAAACACACAGAGACAGGGTTTTGGTCTCCCGAGTGCTGAACCGTGAAGTCAGTTCAACATAGCCAGACTTTCTTGGTGTTAACCGGCTCGACAAAACCTAAAACCCTCGTTGGAGGTGATGGGTGTAAAAGGGGCCATTGAACGTACCATGTGACTCTTAAGATATTTATTTACCACCAGACGCAGCTGTTTATTTTAGCGCTTATACAGCAGCTGCACGTTAAAGCGGCTAAACTTTAATCTTTGTAATGTTTAAACATGACATTAAAGAAGTGCATTTAGGTCTGACGCTGTCCCATAATGAAGGGCATCATTTTGGTTTTTAGTCAAGTGAAGGTGAAATTAATGATCTA